GTAGATATCGGACAACAACGAGGAAGTGTAAATAAGAGACGCGATAGACATACAACTAGTAGGAGCAAGAGCAACGAACGGTATAACCACTAAAGAACACGAGCATCTCAGCAAGCTACAAGGGACGAAAGCGGAAGGGGTAGGCAAGGCAAGCGCGGCAAAGACAGCGGCGAAGCGAAAGCAACTGGGCGAAAGACGAACGGCGAAGAATACTTCCACATAAGGGACTTGTGCTGTAACGGGCCCTGTTGACTACGTACTGGATGACCAGTACGGAAGTTACTTCCACTGACGACAGTGGTCGACAGTGCCCTGCTGGGTGTTTTAAGGAAACACAGAGGAAAGAAAGGAGACTAAATAGTCAGACTAGTCTCTTGGTAAGAGTAAAACTATATTGATATAATCAAGTCCTGTAAGTTCTTGAGTCTCTGTTGTCCTGACTTAATTATACTAATATAACTTAACGTATGATGACGTCTACTCACCACCCATTGCGCGCGTCTAGCAGCGATTGGTGGGTTGATATCATCACGATTTCAACCAATGAGTAGACCCTTCGGTCATCCTAGCAACATCATTATGCTCTGTGATATTGTTGATTAAATATTCAGCGTAATATTCTGTACTGTCATTTTCTCCTTGATGACAAATTCATATAACGGGCTACCCCGTTAGAGCAAATCCAGAAACCAGGAGTAGATTCGTGCAAAAGTCCTGAAACCAGCACCAGTTCTGAGACGGGCCAACATTGGGTGAGGCAGATGTTTACGACACCTTTTTTAACTGCCTAATTGAATAAAACTGCGTGATTGGGTAAGATAGTTTCTATTTTAATCGAGCCGTTGAATAATCCTATTGGGCAGACTTTGTTCGGCAAATAAAAGGCGCTTTGTCCATTTTGCGACGAACGAGCTCATGCGTTGAAGGTCGGAGGCCTCTGTGTTGGAACCATATCTTTGCTATAAGCCTACCAGCGATGTAAAGGTAAGAGACGCGGTATTTACATATCAGTAGCTGATTAGACAGTGGGTGTCGAGTCAATCATAATTTCTGTGCGCGTGACATTGCAAGGGGCGCGGCGTGCGATAAGCAGACGAAAGAGAATCTGCCGGACGGTGTGTAGGTACGAAAGTCGACGATTTCGACAATTATATCTGTTTTAACGCTATTTTATGAGATGAATTATGCTGTTCGTTTAATGCCTGCACCTTGGAATAGGTTGGACGTTATCAAGATCGTAACTATCTCTCGTTTAGTATTTTGCAGGTCGAATGCAAATTGTTGGCGCCAGTTCTGATGTACGTATGGAGTATTTCTGGCGTCTTCACGTTTTGTTTTACTACTAGAGATCGGATACAAGGACTGTGCAAGTCGCGTAACAAGGTCAAGGTGTGAAATCGCGCCATAAAGGCGCGATTTGTGATTGCCAAGCACAGAGTGAACCCCCTGATGCACAATGTACGTGAAAGAAGCATGTATGATGCTTCATGATCGATGTGAATGATGTCCCGCACGTGCAGGTAGAAGGAAGTGTTGTTGTAGAGGACTAAACGATGACACACGTTATTTTTCAAGCACTTTGTTCACAGTAAATGGTAGCAATGAGAGTAAATAGACAAATAATACAAAGCAAGCGTGTTTAAAGCAACGTGTTGGCAAATATGTTGTTGTATTTATTTGTTATAAAAGCAATGTACAGCATGTTTAATTAAGTATAAAGGCAATCGATCCACGCGGGTGGCATTCATTCGAAGTGGTGTCATCCATCACTGTATCCGTCACGAATACTGACGATGGATATACAGACCTTATCGGGTCGCTTAAGTCAGTTGACTTTGCTTCGAAATGCTTGTTCTTTTGTTCCTTAACAGTCGCATGGCGTCGAAATGTTAACTTGTTGTGTCCCTCTTGAAAGCAGTGGCAGCATTTGTAAGTAGCTCCAGACTTCGAATCCCCAGAGCTACCGATACGTCTTTTTTGTCGTCGTCCAGTTTTTGATAAAACAATGGCGAAATTAATCTTCACATCTGGTTTTCTGGTGTTTACAACCAATTCAATCGACTTACCCAGAAAACCTTGCTTAAACGTTAAGACCAAATATGCAGGATGAAAAGCTGCTGTTATGTCGATTGTAGATCCATTAGCATGCAATACGGCAACAAGGTGTCGGCAAGGCAATATCATTTGCATGAAAGTTGAACAAGAGCAACTTTAAGCCTCAACATCAATGCGCCGATATTTTGCGTAGCCTTGTTTCGAGGCAAACCATATATTGGATTTCGACCGCACAACATTCATATCCACCTGCAGCTGCTTGTTCTTTTTTCCAAAGAGACCTCGCACGAGGAGTCACAGAATGTTTCTTTGTTCTCCATTGTTTAATTTGATCTTGACGCATGCAAAATTTTCCAAAGTCGCCTGTGTTAAAATTTTCAATGCTTCGAGAGGCGATGCGTCACGAATTCCATGAACGAGCATGGTGTTGTTATCGCTTTCGACAAAGTTAGTGGTGCGCCACCCAAAAAGAGAACATAGTATCATTAGTAGAGATCAATCATCTTGGTCATACGTGCATGTGGCCGAATTTGAGCTTGACGTCGTGAACTTTCTGACATTTAAATTTTCATCGACATTTTCCATTTGCATATTCGCAAATATAGTCCAATAAATGGGACCGATATTCCCGATGTATGTGGCAACATCATCTCCAAACTTTATTCCCACCTTTGTAAGAGCTGCGGTGTATTCGATCTCGGATTCTGATGCTTGAAATTTTCCACACAGCATTTTCGAATTCAGATCCAGAACATCCAAAATTCCGGTTGATGTTGCGCAAAATATGCCAAGTACAGAATTGAATCTGGAGGATGATACCTGTCGTTGCGTATACATCTTTAACGGAATCTTGTATCTTCCCACGATCACACATTATCGCGACATTCACTAAATTAATTCCAGCATTAATACACTGAATGAAAAACCATGAAATGTTGTCCTTGTTCTCCACATATACGAATGCAGTAGCCAACGTAATCTTTTGTCCATTTCCGTCTCGACCAATGAGAGATAGTATCACGCCAATTAATTTGTGATGTCGTGAATGCGTTCCATCAAATCCAACCACCGGAACATTATACTGTTGGCTGTTTACAGACACTCCAAAGGCCACAAAAAAGCGGAAAAATCGATTCTCTTGGTCCACTTCGAGCGCCACAGTGCTGGATACGTTCAAGCGCTTAAACTCAATCAAATGTGGAGCTAAAAGCTCAAAAGACGACTCCCACTCGCCTTCCATCTCTTCAATTACCGCTTCTATGGCTTCGTAAGTCTTACTTCGATAATTTTGAAGGTTCGATCCATCACGAACGCGGACTAGAGCCACAATTACCTTGCGCTTGATGCCCTTGTCACCTCGAACCGCAGCACTAAAAGTAGGAAAAAGCTTGATTTGACGTGCTGAAGGCTTGGCAGTCGCAAGACACACATCCAAGTGAACATCAACAAGCGTCGAAATGTAGTGCTCAGAAGATGCACCCTTCCGCTGTCTCCTCGTCACGCGGACTTCCCACAGGCACCCGTCTTGTGGGCACACATACGTTTTGCTTTCACCAGTGCACCTCTTGACCTTGCACTGTCGATTTTAATTAAATCAGTAGTCCTGTATAAAAACAGTTGCAGCAGCGCTCGTCTGAAAAATGTGTCCCTTCGACAGTACTTTAGTACCGTAAATTTCTTCTATGTCAATCATCGCCATTTTGGGAGAAACCAAGGTGTATAATATAATGTGTCTACATAATAAACTTGACTAGGACAACGCACATAAAAATTATGTGGTCCAAATTACTAAATGTGTGGTCCACACTTAATAAATATGTGGTCCACATTATAAACTGGGTGGTAAATATTTATAAACTATGTGGGCCACATTAATAAACGGTGTGGTCCACATCTGTCCCACTCAATGTTGGCCCATCTCAGAACTGGTGCTGGTTTCAGGACTTTTACACAAATCTACTGCTGGTTTCTGGATTTGTTCACCCCGTTACATGTGCGGTGTCGCAAGGGAGCCTTTTTCTGTGCGAGTGCATAGTAGAAGGTAATCTGAGAGCTTGAAGCAGCGAATGATAGTTGTGTTGGTCGTTATCATTGCCTAATTTTATCAATAAGAAATGTGGTGCTGAATATTTCCTGAAATTGGTAATATTTGACGAATATAGTCAATAATGATATTGATCTCATTGACTCAATTTTTGGTGTCAATGGCATGTAAAAGCTTCACCCCGTTACAATTTGGAAGCCTGCAGACACTGGATGTTGTCAACAGTCGAATCCTCAGCGATGCCGGGGCTGAATTTCTGTCCTGTGCGAATGAAATTTTGAGGTGATCTCCCTTTTATGATGGAAAAAATCGATTTTAATATTTACGTCATTTCAACTTTCGAAAAGTACCACAAACATTCACTACCACACGTTTGAATATCCACTAAAAGACGATAATCTCCGTTCTATAATATTTGTTCACCAATCCCATTAGGGATCCAAGAATAGCTCTCCGTCCCGCACGCGCCTGTCAAGACAAACCCTATCCGAGTAACGCGTACTGTTACATAACACCGACGACCGCCCAACGCTGCCATCTCGAGGAAAGCTTTAGCTCTAACCAATTTGTTTGTTGACCAATGTAGAAGCGACTGCACTTGCGTGGGATTGCGTCACACCCTGTCACGTAACCGAAGAGACTCTGGGAGACTGGGACCAGTCGCGCAGCAGATTCGACCGTTAGTCCAGAAGTGCTATCGGATCACTTGAGTTTGGCAGCAGTGTGGCCGTTGAGATCCGAGCAAAAGACGATGTGACAAGACCCCACGTTTCTCCGCACCGTCTCCACGATGCGCGTGCAAGTTGGGACGAGTAAGGGCACGTCTCGTGGCGGCTGCTGCCAACTTAACAGGACGTAGCACTTTTGGTTGCGCCGGAAAAGGAACAGCGAGACAAGAACAATGACTGAACCAGTAACGGGTCAGAGTGTGGGCATCGATCTGGGCACGACGTACTCGTGCGTCGGCGTGTGGCAGAACGACCGCGTGGAGATCATCGCCAACGACCAGGGAAACCGCACGACGCCTTCGTACGTGGCGTTCACGGACACGGAGCGGCTGATCGGCGACGCGGCCAAGAACCAAGTGGCGATGAATGCGCACAACACGGTGTTCGACGCCAAGCGCCTGATTGGACGCAAGTTTTCCGACCCTGAAGTGCAGTCGGACATCAAACATTGGCCGTTCAAGGTGACTCGTGATGCAGCCGACAAACCTCAGGTGGTTGTGCAGTTCAAGGGCGAGACCAAGACGTTCCAGCCCGAGGAGATCTCGTCCATGGTGCTCATCAAGATGCGCGAGATCGCAGAAGCTTACATTGGTAAGCAGGTGAAGAATGCAGTCGTGACTGTCCCGGCCTACTTCAACGACTCGCAGCGTCAGGCGACCAAAGATGCCGGTGCCATTGCAGGGCTGAACGTGCTGCGAATTATCAACGAGCCGACGGCTGCTGCGATCGCCTACGGCCTGGACAAAAAGGGCGGCGAGCACAATGTGCTAATTTTCGATCTCGGTGGCGGTACGTTTGATGTGTCGCTACTGAGCATTGAGGATGGCATCTTTGAGGTGAAAGCTACCGCTGGTGACACACACTTAGGCGGTGAAGACTTTGACAATCGCCTTGTGGATCACTTTGTCGCTGAGTTCAAGCGCAAGCACCGCAAAGATATGTCGTCGAATCAACGTGCTCTGCGTCGTCTTCGCACGGCATGTGAGCGAGCCAAGCGGACTTTGTCTACTTCTGCTCAAGCATATATCGAGATCGATTCGCTTCTTGATGGCATCGATTTCAACACGACAATCACACGTGCGAGATTCGAGGATCTGTGCGCTGATTTCTTCCGCAAGACAATGGAGCCTGTCAGCCAGGTTTTGCGCGACTCGAAGCTGTCGAAGGGTCAAGTGAACGAGATCGTTCTCGTCGGTGGCTCCACTCGCATTCCGAAGGTGCAGCAGTTGTTGATGGATTTTTTCAACGGAAAGGAGTTGTTCAAGTCGATTAACCCGGACGAAGCTGTAGCGTATGGAGCAACTGTCCAAGCTGCAATTCTGAGTGGCGGTGGAGCATCGTCGAAGCTGCAGGATCTCCTGCTGCTGGATGTAGCACCTTTGTCGCTCGGGTTGGAGACAGCAGGTGGTGTCATGACCAAGCTCATTCCACGGAACACAACTGTTCCTGCAAAGAAGTCGCAGTCGTTCTCGACGTATGCCGACAACCAGCCCGGTGTGTTAATTCAAGTCTTTGAGGGTGAGCGCGCGCTGACGCGCGATAACCACCTTCTGGGCAAGTTTAGTCTTGACGGGCTTCCACCAATGCCGCGTGGCGTGCCACAAATTGACGTCACTTTTGACGTTGACGTGAATGGTATTTTGAACGTGTCGGCCGTCGAGAAGTCAACGGGCAAAGAGAACAAGATCACGATTACAAATGACAAAGGACGACTATCGCAGGCTGAGATTGACCGCATGGTGAACGATGCGGAGAAGTACAAGGACCAAGACGAGCGCAACAAGCTGCGCATTGAAGCGAAGAACGGACTGGAGAATTACGCGTTTTCATTGCGTACTTCCATGAGCGAGGAGAAGATTGCCGCGAAACTCGGCGCCGACGATAAGAAGGTCATTGAGGACAAGGTCGCAGAGACGCTGCAGTGGCTGGATGCAAACCAGTCGGCTGAGAAGGACGAGTTTGATGCGAAGCAAAAGGAACTTGAAGGCGTGGCGAACCCTATCATGCAAAAGCTGTACGCTGCGGAAGCAGGTGCCGGTATGAGTGGTGGTGCTGGTGGTGCTGGCGGTGCTGGTGGTCCAGGTGGTCCAGGTGCGTCTTTTGGGGCTGGTGAGAAAGAGGGTCCGAAGATTGAAGAGGTGGATTAAGGAGCGCGAGCGGTCTCAAGGTCTACGGAGCAGCGAAGCAGATGGTGGTAGGGTGACCGAGACGAAGTGAATGAATGTTTGCAACAAGTGCTTGAAGCGACGAGATACGTGAACTGAGGGTGACCGAGACGAAGTGAATGAATGTTTGCAACAAGTGCTTGAAGCGACGAGATACGTGAACTGAACTGTCGGTGCACGTGTGCTGGAACGCTACGTGTTTGTTTTCGAATTCTCTCTCTTTCGACTACAGACACTGACGAGTAGTAGAGTTCCATTTTTGTGCAATATGCCACTCCCAGCTCATACGGCACGAGAATAGCCAAAAGTAGGGAGTCCGCCTTCGGTTGGTCTCCGTTATTGTCGCCCACGCTCGCTATTCGCGCTCGTTTTTGCTGCCTCTGTGCTCCAAAACGCCGCGTAAAACGCCGTGACGAGTTCGTGTCCGCCACTCAACGCAACAGAACCCCTGACCCCCGACTCAGATCGTCGCAACAAACGACAGTAACAATCAGACGGTATCCCTCTGGCCGACCGACCGGTGGTACGTACGAGCCAGACGGCCCGCGACGAGTCCCACGTATCATAACCCCACGTCGCCTGATGGACGACGACCGGACGCGGTCGCTCGAGCAAGAGGCCATTGCGCTCGTGAGCCTGAGCACCGCCACGCACTTTGCGACGTCGGACCCGCCCCACGAGGCTCTCACTGAAGCGTCGGCGGAGCTCCTGGACGGCGCCATTTCGATGAAGTCGCTGCTCGTGACGCTCAAGAAGAAGCGCCCGTTGCAGCCCGAGATCAAGCGCGAGGACGGTCCAGACGCGGGCAGTACGCCCGAGACGGACGTCGATAGCGCCAAACTCCCGAGCTTCCGGACCGTGTTCCAGCCGCCGCGAGAGCCCCCGCTGCCGAAACAGGCGCTGGCGCCCGACAGCGTCTTTGTCGAGTCGGTCATGGCCGCGGAGCTCAAGTGCAAGTACCGCACGGGCAAGTGCCGCAACGTGCGCGCGCTCAAGTCGTGCGGCGACCACCACAACTTGTGCAACTACCATCGCCTTCGGGCCAATGCAAACCAGCGCAAACTCGATCGCAAGAAGAAAGAGCAGCGGCTCTTGCAGCAACAGCAGCAGCAGCAGCAACGCACGGCCACAGTCGCAGCCAGCGCGTCCTCACCACGCGCGGTGAAACATCGGGTGTCGGTTTCTCCCTCGCCGCATGCGGCCGCGGCGGCCCTCGCGTCGCTTGTGGCTGCACGGCATCACTTTTATTCGGTCGTTGCAGTGGACGTGACAGCGGTGCAAGAGGCAGCGGGCAAGACCAGCATGGACCGAAGCACTACCGGCACGACGAGCCGTGTACGCCCCAAGCAGGAAGACGCCTGCAGTTATTAGACGCGCGGGACGACGGTGGCGGTATTGGATCCTGTGCTGGAGCCGTACCTGCTGCTTCCATAGACATACATACTGCATGGATAACTAGAGCAACACACAACAGGTGCAATGGCCATATCGACACGCGAAGGTCCTAATGTTTCGGAAGGTACAGTACATTGCGATTTCGGGACGACGGGACAGACTGCCTGATACTGTGTCTACGGCAACAGACATAATATAATGGTGACTGCATGTCGTAAGAGAGGGGGAGGCAGCGCAAACACGCTACTGCGCTACGTGTACACGACCAGAAGAACCATTGCCACGAGCACGGCTACCAGAAAAAGAATGAGTCCGAGTTGACACTTGTCTAAGGCAATACAAAACAAAGCGTGTGAGCTGAAAGCAAGAGCGTGCTGGCTTTCACGACACGCGTACTCACCTTTTGTCTTCAGAAGGCTGCTCAAGCGTCCCATGACAAAGTTCATACGCTCTTGTGCTTCGTCCACGTCCTTCGTCACACCGTCCAGCATTCTGCAAACAGCATCGCAACACGGTGAGATCAAAGTCAACGCTACAAGACAAGCTGTGCCACAACGACACATACTTGTTCTGCTGTTTGACCTCATTGGAAATCTCTACTGTGACTCCATGCAAGCGCGTGATGTCGGTCTGAAGCCCTGCCAAACTTGCGTCTTGCTCCTGCATAATTTGCTGCACACGGCCATTCGCCAAAGCAGCCAAGGCGCGTGTAAGCTATAGCCACAACAGCGCACAAGTGTGTGAACTCGCTCATACCCGATGCTGCAGCCTTTCTTGCTCCAGCAATCTCTCGTTCCTTTCCTGTGCAGTCAGATGTGAGCTAGGAGACACCGACTGTTTCGCGGGCGCAATCGACTGCAAATCACCCAAAGTTCAGCGATAGCCTCAGCACACCGACCTCACACTGTACGATACAAAACGCGCACCTCGCGGTCTTTTTTGCCGATCTGAGCCTTGACAACATCACTGCAGATTTCGGATGCAACACCTTCCAGCTCCTACACACACCAGTGTATCAGTACCACATTTCCACGTCCCTCACCTGCTACGGGACCCAACAAGTCCAAAACCACGCGCTTTACCGTTTTAGTTGTCGCAATAAAAGCTTTCCGATTTGCAATCTCCACCTGCAGCCACCAACGACCACCGTCAGCTTCTCAACAACAGCATTCCTCTCGCTGTCCCTCTACTGCTGACCGCATCAATGTGCTCAAACTTCAATCGATTGGCCTCCACCATGACGATCGTTTCCTCCAGGAACTTGACTGCCTTTTCTGCAGTCGCAACAGCGGCTTCGATCTCTACACCACCGCACAGCGCGAAATGCCATTAGCACTCGTTCACGCCGTCCACAGACACCCGACAGTTTTCACTCATTGCAGTACACACGACGCGTCAGATCCACGAGCTTTGTGGTCGATGCCACGTCCGTAGCCGTAGCACGAGCGACGCGCCACTTGGCGTGTTTCTGGTTCACAGCTGCGACTTTGGTCTCTAGATCACTGATACAGCAGCAGCAACAGAGCGTCAGCGACAAAGACAAAGGGAGCAGACGAAAAGCGCATACAATGGAGAGTTCACCGCACTCTTTGAACACGTAGAACGGGTCGCCACTGGCTGCCGCCATCGACAGCTCCTTCTTCATCACTCTTGACGGCTGATGGCGAGATGTGTTCACACTTGGGACTTGTTAAGACCTTTATTTCTTCTTTTTTCTTGCTTTTTTCTTGCTTTTTGCTTGCTTTTTGTACAAAACAGCGCATTTTGACCGAGTGGGATGGTCGTACTTGGTGATAAACTCGAAACAAGCGCCGACAGGTGTTGTCGAGTCCTAACCACTCGAGGTTGCATAAAAAGCGCTTTTTCGCACGTGATCAACTCCTGCTGGGACGGGGACAACCGGTAGTAGACTCCTGACAATGTCTCGACGCTATAGAGATCACGCTGCAAGTGTCAACTAATGATAGAAGAGAAAGGCTCTTTGCACTTCACATGGTCAAATTTGTACAGACGAAGTTGTATTTGACTATGCAAAGGCTATGTCGCGTGTCGTGTTTCAGTAAACACAAGGAAGGCTTTGAGCTATTGGATGGCCCATGTGTGGCTCAAACATTGCATATTTTGAAGTAGTTGGAGATTAAATTACTGTAGTAGCGTGTGCTCTGGTCTGAATCGTTTGTATGACCGACGCACCCGGACATTGCCGAATGCTGTCACTGTGAACCTTTAAATGTGCACACAATCGATGCTGAGGGTCTTGTGAAGGTTGTAAGTGTTAGAAGATATCGTTTCTGACAAGTCGCGAGGGTCAAGGGCAATACCCCGTGACACGGTAAGTTACAATCGTACCTGATTGGCTAACAAGTTTGACATCTTGACAGATGGGACGAGGCGACGATGTCGCCACGTCGGACCACCAGGATGTTGCGACATATGAGACGAGGCGACGAGATTACCATGTCGTCTTGTCGATGTCGTAACAGGTGGGACGGAGCGGGATAGACGTGCACTATAGACGGTATAGTTGCAGTCCGTTTCGCATGCATGTGTAGGTATTAACGAACGAGGGAGGTTAATGCTTAAATATATTCACTTTTACTTCTACATCTTCTGGAACAAGTGCATCAACGAACACTCATCTTTCTACAGGTTATGAGCCCAAAGAATCGTGTTGCCGGCGCAGCTCAAGGAGCCACACCCGCTGCGGTGGTCGATGGTCGAGAAACGACCGAGGACCACCAACTAGAAGAAAAGTCGGCAGTGCCCGCGGCGGCACTGGACAAGATGCTCGCCATGCTTGGCGACTTGTCGGAACGGATGGGCAGGATGGAATCCTCCCAACGCGAACAAGTTGGAGGCCAACGCATGGAATCTGCGGAGTCGAGCGTCTTTGGTTCGGTTCTCGGTTCAGGGGCCGGTATAACATTTCAGGCTTTGGAGCGTACCCCACCCCCTAAACGTTCACCGAATGTCTCGCCGGCCACCTACTTCGGTGCCCGACGACCGGCTCTGGCCGGGGAACACATGGTTGACGCGCCGGCCCAGGCAAATGTCAACCATGGAATGGCTCGGGGTCTCGAGCCTGGAATTCAGGGACATGCCATGCCCGCGGGAGTATACCCGGGTATGCAAGTACCAGGTCCGGTGCAACACCAGCCCGGACAGGTACACCAAGGTGTACCGGATGGACGCCAAAGGAAGCTGGCTTTGCAACCTTTCGATGGAAAGGAGCTCTACCATGGCCTTGGGAGTGGTTTCATTGAATGGGGCAAAGAATTTGTCCGGCAGGTTGCGTTCTCGGAACGCGCCTGCGGTTTTGGATGGCCTGAAGATACCAAGGTGGATGTCCTCGGCCAACACCTCGCTGGTACGGCGCAGAAGTATTACCGGCGGCAGGTGGAAACTTGGTGGTCTGAGAGCCAAACCTTGGAGCATGCATTGCAAAGGTTACTCCAGACCTTCAACACCAAGATAACACCTGCCCAGAGCATGAAGCTGTTTACTGCTGCCAAATCACCCCAGCGTAGCTGGACCGAACACTTCCTGTACCTGACCGCTGTGAGCGACGCATGTGGAGGTGCGGACAACCTCGTACTGGACAACATCGTGCATTATGCCGATCCAGCCATGCGGACGACTATGTTGTCCCGCCTGAATTTGAACAGGATTGACTATCTTCGTCAAGCTGAAGAGCTCGCGCAATTCGCACAGTCAACGGAGCTTGCAGTTCGCGTGAAGCACTTCGGTCGGGATGTTGTCAACATTGTTGAACCAAACAACCAACCCAAGAGGATCGAACGGACCAAGAAACAACATGGTCCACAGCGATCCAAGCAGTGTTACCTGTGCGGCAGCACCGGGCATCTCAAGATGAACTGCCCAAAGGGTACCAAGAAGAAGCAAGATGCAGATTTCGTCTTGGCTCTCCCAGTACATCGGACGATTTCGCCAAGTCACTGGGTGCTGGACAGCGGCTCAGGTCGTCACCTGATTAACGATTTGAGCTTGCTGGAAGATGCGGTGGACTGCAACACCAAATGCTTCACCGCTGCGTCGGACAGTGAACCACTTCGGATCACCAAGCAAGGAAGTGTGATGATCCGGGTCAAAGCACTTGGATTAACTAAGACAATACGTCTTCTCGATGTTCAATACGCATCAAACTTGGAGTGCAACATCATCTCGTTTGGGAAACTCGAGTCGAAGGGATGCATCCTTGAGTATCGAGAAGGGAGGCGTGTCATGGTTTCGCAATCCGGTGGATTACCTATCATGGATGTCGATCGGATCAATAGTGTACTGGTCGTTGAAGTTTTCAATGGAGCTACGACCAATGGTTCCCATGGTTTCGGATCACCAAGAGAAGCTATCATGACGGTCGTCGACGACATCAAGAGTAGCACAAGGAACGACGTTCAACATGGAACCCTGTTTTATTTTCATCACTGTCTAGGGCACTTGTGCTACGACACCATCATAAAGATGGCTCGGGATCCCGCCTCTGGTATCAAACTGACTGATACCAAGCGCGTCAAGTGCTTAGCCTGTGCACAAGGCAAGCAGACAAAGAACCGACAATCGCGGAAGGACAGTGGGTTGAATTCACCCATTGACGTGATCGGAGGCGTGGTCTGTTCAGACCTGAAAGGTCCTATGACCCCCCGTGATCGACTCGGCAATAGATACCTGATCAATTTCATTGATCACAGGTCGAATTACTGCCGGGTGTTCCTAGCGAAGACCAAAGATGCTGCTGCGATGCATTTCAAGAATTTTTATGGTGGTTTTCGAACGCCAATTTAATTGCCGTATACACGTTTTACGTACAGACGGTGGAGGCGAGTACAAGCCTCTGGATGTTTTTTGCAAGGAAGTCGGTGTCTCTCGCCAAGTGAGCGAGCGTGACAACCAGGCCAGCAATGGCAAAGCCGAGCGCATGCATCGCACTATCATGAATATGGTGCGAAGCATGGTGTTTGCAAGTGGGTTACCCTTGACGTTTTGGGGTGATGCTGCAGAATATGCAGCATACATCTTAAATCGAAGTCCCACCAAGGCTAACGAAGGTAGCATCTCACCCATCGAGATGCTAACCAAGAAGACACCCGTCTTAAGTGACATTGTGGTTTTCGGGTCCTCATGCACTGTGCATCGAACGACCTCGAACAAGTCATTGGGTCCCCGTGGCAAACAGGGGATCATCATCGGGAAGAGCGATGAGATGAAAGGCTATCGGGTCTTCATACCAATGGATCATGTGGTGGTAGTAACTCAACACGTGAAAAACGTCGAAACCTTGGATAACATCCAAAGGCCAAACATGACCAAAACGTTACATGGTACCGAAGGTCAGGAGGAGCTCGGTGACCAAGGTGGCACGAGCAAATCAAGTGCAAGGCCATCAGAATGGACTCGTGATCCACACATGACACGATCACGCCGAAAGGACGAAGATACATCAAGCGAAGTCACTATCTCAGGTGAGGGTGTCGACATCGTCAACGCTGTTCGGGACCCGAAAAACTATGGCGAGGCTGTGCGAAGCGACAGCAAGGATAAATGGGCTGTGGCCATCAAGGATGAACTCGACGCACTGGAGGAGAACGGTGTGTGGGCGGTTGTCGTTCCACCTGACAACGCCCACATACTCCACAATAAATGGGTTTTCAAGACAAAGACCGATGCTGACGGGAATGTCGAGAGATACAAGGCCAGACTCGTTGCATGTGGAAACGAGCAATTGTTTGGAGTCGACTACACCTTGACATTTGCCGCGGTTATGGAACTCGGGACAGTCAAGGTGATCCTGGTCCTCTCAGGCAGATGGAATGTGCCTGCTCGTCACGGCGATGTGCCAAACGCATATGTCAAGGCCGATCAGGAAAAGGACCTCGACATCTACATGAAGATACCAAGTGGTATGCAAGTTAACGAAGACACCTTGGCCTATCATGGTGTGGACGCGACCAAACAGCTCGCACTGTTGCTCAAGAAGTCTTTGTATGGCTTGAAACAAGCTGGAAGATTGTGGAGCAAACTACTACACTCCAAGCTGACCGAGTTAAACTTCAAACAATGCACGACGGACATGTGCCTCTATGTCAACCGAACCGGTACGGATGTAACGGTTGTCGGTGTTTACGTCGACGACCTACTGGTGACTGGAACTTCGAACGCTGTCGTCGGACAATTTTTCAAGGACATGGCATCTCTCGAGATCAAGGACCTCGGCATTGTGAACAAGTTCCTCGGACTGAGGGTCAAGCTGAACGAAAATGAAGGCTACGTGTTGGACCAAGAGGTTACCATCGACTCACTGCTAAAGGAACATGGACTGGCTACTGCTAACGGTGTTCGATCTCCAATCGGAAACGAATGCAACGACGACGATGAGTCGAACTCAGAGTCATTGAAGCCGACCGCCAAGGATGGAGATGCAAGCATCAAGGCCTTTCAGTCACTCGTCGGAAGTTTACTGTGGATTGCGCGTTGTACTCGACCGGACATTTGTTTTGCGGTACACCGGGCAACCCGGCAGACCCACAATCCGACGGTCAAGGATTGGAGAACGGCGAAACGAGTCGCGAGGTATCTGAAGGAGACCAAGACGTTGAAGCTATGCATCAA